CCATCTTCGTCCAACAAAGAGAAGCTGTTCTTCCTCCTCACGAAACTCAGCATTTGGCAATCAGATCTGACTCAAGTGTTAATGAGCAAATATTTTGCCTGAGCTCACGATACTTTCAATCGTGACCAAAATAACAAGCTTTGAAGCTCCATTAAGTTTTGTTTTAAAACTTCTGATGRGAAGTCTTTTATTTTGAAGAGAAGACCAAATCGGATCAGACTCTCTCCTTCGGGCCTGACGCAGATTCTCGGAGACGCTGAAAAAAAAAAAATCAAAACTCTGCACGTTTTTACTGGAAGTAAGGGACCTGACCAGAGTTTCTTGCTGACCTGGGTGAATACTTCCTAAACGCTTAACCTGACGGTCAAGACACCTCCAGGTAAAAGCTGAATGTTTTGACTAGTGTACTGGAGTTCGGGCTGACGGAGAGACCCAAGTGTTCGTTCTGGTTTCCTAACATATCGATAACAAAATGTTATGGCTAACATCCTCCTTTCCTTCCATCTCTTAAATTTAAACACAGCCATCTCAGTTTAAAGTRCCTGCAAACATCTGGTTTATTAAGACCTTAAACCTGAAGTTCTGCTGTTTCTCTTAGAGTTGTAATATCAACAGTATTTAGTGTGAACGTGTACCTGTTTTTGTTAATGTTTTAACTCACAACAAAATTTGTTTGTTCACAATAAGTTATATATAAATGATTAATTTTGATTCTATAAATAAATTATCTCATTTACGGCCAGATCAACTTGAATTCCCAGACAAAATTCTGACTTATTTGTATATCCTCCTATTTACATAGAAAGGGCGTTCATTTCCTTAAACAGAAGAACCTGCGAATTTTCCTTATAGCAGTGGTTATAAGAAATGTATTTTACACTAATTACTACATGTGATATTAACCCAGCTCAACCAGACTTTAAAATGGTGTTTTTATTTATTGAGATTTTATTTTTAGATTTTAATAATCTCTCTTTAAAGGGGCAATATCATGTAAAATCAACCTTTGAGTTTTATATCATTTTATAAATATTATACTCTCATAAAAACATGCCCTGGGGTCGGATTTATAAAACTGGCGTACGCACAATTTGAGCCCAGAAACTTGCGTACGCCACTTTTTACGCCAAGGTTGT